ACACAGTGCGCTAACCACTGCACCACCGCTCCCCACGTCCACCACAACCTGGTACCCGATGTATCGACCACCTCTGGCTGTGCTCACCGCGTGTGCACGTGACGAGGAGGGAGAGGAGGAGTAGGCCAAGTCTCGAGAAGAGTTCTCGCACCGCCATGACACCCACCTGGGACCCACGTGTTTCAGTTTCTCAAGTCACGTGGTGCAGAGAAATTCGATTCCCGGTTCGATTAACTCCACTTGCGTCGATTCTTAATGGGATAACATTAGGAATCGATTCTTGTAGTGGATTTATAGAGTCGATTTCTATTGGGATAACATGGGAATCGATTTATAGTTGATTAAGCTATTGGAATCGATTTACGTTGAGATAACATGGAAATAGACTATCGTGGGTGTGTGTCCATGTGTGTGTGTGTAAGGTCCGGCAAAACAACCTCCTACCTCCTCGCGGTGCCGGACGGGCAACACTGTCGTGGGCAGTGCTGTGGGGGGAAGTCCAATGCCCATTGGCCTCTCCCCTCATGGCGTCTGTGACCACCACAGTGGCTAAACGGGGGCTCTGGACGGGTGTGAGGGGCTGGTAACCCCTCCACCTTCAATTAACCACCACTAAACCACGAATTAAACATAAACCTGTAACAAATAAGCTTGTGCCGGAGGCCCCGGGGGGGTCAGGCTTTTATGACGTCTCCTGGCCAAACCCCATTTGGCGGAGCCAGGAGATTGAATTTTCACCCTCGGGGCTCCTCCAGAAACAACAAAAAACCATTGCGGATGGCCACGTGGAATGTTCGAACGCTCACTGCGGAGGAGAGGCTGCCACTCCTCTGTCGGGAGCTGGACCGGTACCGCCTGGATCTCTGTGGCATTCAGGAGGTCCGGTGGACCGGTTCTGGCTCCTGCCACCATGAGGGGTGGACAGTCCTCTACTCGGGGCAGGAGACTGCCAAACAACAGGGTGTGGCTCTTCTTCTGAACAAAAGAATGAAGGGGGCGTGGGAGCGTGGCGGTGAGGTGTGGGAAGCTGTAAGCCCCAGGATACTTTGGGCTCGCCTTCCCATCAACCAGAGGCGAGGAGTGGTGGTCGTGGTTACTTATGCCCCCACCGAAGACGAACATCCGTGGAGGGATGCAGGCAAAGCCGATGAGTCAGACTCTTTCTATGACCTCCTGTCACAGGTGCTGGCTAAAGTGGCCACTCGGGACAGAGTCATCTTGTTGGGTGACTTCAATGCCCGAGTTGGTCATGATGCTGGTACCTGGTCTGGAGTGATTGGAAGGCATGGGCCAGATCAGCTCAATAATAACGGTAGGAGGCTGCTAGATTTTTGTGCAGCCCATGGGCTTGTAATTACCAACACGCTCTTCCGGCATCGGCGCATCCACACAACATCATGGATACATGCCGGGTCCAAGCAAGAACATCTGCTGGACTACATAGTGACGGACCAGCGGATGCGAACCCATGTCCTTGACACCAGGACCTACCGTGGAGCTGATCTGTCCTCTGACCATCGACTAGTCATCTGTAAGATGCGCCTGCCTTTCTTCCACTCCGGTGGTGGGTGTACACCCAGGATCCCATTCCAACCAAAAGTGGCCTGGTCTCAGTTAGCTGATGAAAGTTGCAAGCGAGAATTTCATCATCGCTTGCAGCTGGGGTTGGCATCGTCCCCCACTCCACCTGATGTCGAGGGGAAATGGGCGAGGTTTAAGACTGTGACTCATGCAGCTGCAATGGCTGCTTTGGGTACGCGGTCCAGACCTCCCCAGAAACCCTGGCTGACAGAGGAGGTGTTCAGGTTAATTGGGAAAAAGCGTCAGGCCCACTCTCATCGCCTATAGCATCCCACGTCAGAGAATGAGGAGGTTTACCGCAGCCTTCGCTCGGAAGTTCGGAGAGCCGTAAGGCGCTGTAAGGATGGGTGGTGGTCGCGGGTTGCTGAGGAGATGGAGTCTGCCTCAGTGGCCCGTGATCACAAATCACTATTTAACTCCATCAAAAAAGTAACCTGCAGCGCCACACCTATTACCATCATTAGAGGAAAAAACGGTGATCCAATCTCCGACCCCCAGGAACAGGTTTGCAGATTTGCTGAGCATTTCTGTGAGGTCCTGGGGGAGGGAAATTCTCTCAGCCAGGAAAACATCATGGCACAAAGTGGTGATAACCCTGCTGAGGCTGCGGTGCCTCAAATATTGGAAGAGGTCACCCCCTGTGAGTGGCTGGCTGAGGTGCCAGCTGTTGAGGAAGTACTGAGGGCGATCCGGAGTCTGAGACCAGGGAAGGCATCGGGCAGAGATGATCTCCCAAGCGAAATGCTGAGGGAGGGTGGCGTTTGTGCACAGACTGCCCTATATGACATCATAACAACAGTCTGGACCACTGGACGGGTTCCGCAGGACTGGAAGGATGCCCTGGTGGTCCCCCTCTTTAAGAAGGGGGACCGTACCGACTGTAACAACTACAGGGGCATCTCACTCCTCAGTGTGCCGGGTAAGGTCCTGGCAAGGATTACTTGCTAGGCACGCTGAGGAGAGGCTTGCGGAGCCCCAATGCGGTTTCAGGAAAGGGCGGTCCTGCACAGATGCCATATTTTCTGTCCGTCTGCTACAGCAGAGGTGTAGGGAATTCCAACAAGACCTACATCTCTGCTTTATTGACCTGGTCAAGGCCTATGATACCATCAGTAGGACTGGGCTCTGGGTTGTTCTTCGTGCTTTCGGAGTCCCTGACCCTCTGCTCACGATCATTAAGGACCTTCATGATGGTGAGCGGGCCCGGGTAAAACTACGTGGCCGGGAGTCGGAGCCTTTCCCTGTACACCTTGGGGTGCGACAGGGATGTCCTCTGGCTCCCACATTATTTAACATCTATTTTGACCGCGTAGTTCGTGAAGCCTTCCATAGCTGTACCGGGGGAATTTCCATTTGGTACAGATATAATGGGAGGCTGATCGACACCCGGGTGCGATCAAGGGATGGCTCCCTATTGGTCAACCATGTTATGTATGCCGATGATTTGGTAATAGCTGCTCATTCAGAAGAGGAGTTGGAGACGCTGCTGCTGAGACTGGAGCGTGCCACTAAGAGGTGGGGCCTTACCATCAGCCCCACCAAAACGAAACATCTGCCTGGGTATTTTGTACCATCGGACACTCCACGCCCACAACTCCCAATTGGTGATGGGGCAGTTGTGGAGAGAGTTGAGAGTTTCCCATACCTGGGCAGCGTGCTTATGACCGGCTCCAGTTTATCAGCAGAGGTCTCACTCCGAATCAGTCGAGCGGCAATATCTTTTCATCGGTTGCGTAACGCTGTGTGGAAGCTACCTGGTCTGTCGCTCCGCACGAAGCTTCAGGTCTTCTCAGCCACGGTCATTCCCTCCCTTCTCTACGCTTGCGAAACGTGGACCCCCCTAGTGGAGCATCTTCGCCGGTTGGAAACATTTAGGCTGGCCTGCCTACGATCCATCCTGGGTTTAACCAGGCTGGATTGTGTGAGGAGCTCACAAGTCCTTGAAAGATCTGGGCAAAGTCCCATCAGTGAGCTCCTCCGGCAGGCAAGGCTGCGTTGGCTGGGTCATGTAGCCCGCATGCCCAGCCACCGCATGCCTAAACAGCTTTTGTTCGGCCGGATCGAGGGGGCTAGACGGGCGCGGCATGGGCTAGAGAAGAGATGGAGTGATGTGGTACAGGAGGACGTGGAGCTGAGTGGACTTGCCGATGACTGGTACCAGCGGTGTCAAGATCGGCCTCAGTGGAGGAGGCTCGTGAAGGACGCTACTGGGCAGTTGGAGGCAGTCGCCCTCCAACAACAACGGAGGGCGGAGGAGCGACGCTCACAACGAGCGGAGCGCCGGGTGGCTAAAGCACAGCAAGTTGGCACAGTAGGGGGCACAGATGGTGCATCAGCCACTCGTCTCAGTCAGTCGACCCGTGGCACCTGCTGGGTCTGCCCCGTGACCTCCTGCCAGCGGGCGTTCGACACTTCACGTGGCCTCAAGGTGCACTTGGCCTGGCACAAGCGTCGTGGTGACGTCTCCGCCACTTAGTGGCGAATGACTGTTGTTGTTGTTGTGTGTTGATGTTTGTAATTGCAAGTGTACATTAGGGACAGGCCTGAACCTGAGTTTCTTGCTTGAGGGTCACGTGACAGCCCGTCCAGCCGTCAGGTCACGTGACTTATCGACCCTCGGAAAGCTTCCCCACCTGCCCGTCTGTCTGTCCCGTGGCCCCATCTCCCTCCCTCTCCCTCCTCATCTCTCTCGCTTTCACGCGGACAGCTGGGGAACCACCACCCACCACCACCACCACGCACAGCACACACACAACCACTGCTTTCTTATTAAGATAATCTGTTCATCTGCTCTCATGAGAATAAGCTCTTTTTTAAATCCTTTATATTAAGTTCGCTCGCTTGCTTGCTTACGACCGTGCAACTCTTTCGGTCGTTTTTTAACACACTTCCCGTGATCCAATAGAGCTGACATTTTGCACACAGACTCGTTGTGCGTGACAATTTTCGTGAAATTTTTTTTTTACATTTTTACACTGTTTAGGCAATTTCTTTTAAATATTTAATTACCAATTGCTTAATGGTGGCAGACAATCATCTCTGACCCATAGGTGGCAGCCATCTCAAGCCAGAGGACGAGAGGACTCGAGCCGCCACGCATATAAGTTCCTAGAATCAACCCACCCGCGCCTGCAACGTGGCTTCATCCCAGAGGTCGCAATCGGGTACCCGATACCCGTACCCTACCCGTACCCGGCCGGGTACGGGTAGGGTACGGGTAGGGTACGGGTAGGGTACGGGTAGGGTACAGGTAAGGTACGGGTAGGGTACGGGTAGGGTCTGGGTACGGGTAGGGTCTGGGTAGGGTACGGGTACGGGTAGGGTACGGGTACGGGTAGGGTACGGGTACCCGTTTGCGACCCTGGTGCGGCCGGGTACGGGTACGGGTAAGGAATCAAAACCCGTTTGCGACCTCTGATTCACGCGAAGACGATACAATTGACTCTTCAATCTCCCATGGGACGAGGAGGGCACGAGTAGAGAGGGAGAGAGGGGGGGGGGGGGGACGGTTCGGGGGTGCCCCCCCCACCTGAGCAGCTCGCAGCGGTTGGGGTCCATCTCGTCGTAGACGGTTCTCTTGAGGATGCGGCTGAGATGCAGCGGCAGCCAGCACAGCGCAAACACCACCGCCAGGCAGAACACCGCCTTGCCTGCCTCCCGTTGCTGTGTGTACACACACGCACGCACACACGCGCACGCACACACACACGTACACACACACGCACACACACACACACACGCACGCACACACGCACGTACACACACACACACATGCACACACACACGTACGCACACACACACACGCACACACACACGTACACACACACGCACACACACACGCACGCACACACACACGTACACACACACACACACGCACACACACACGTACACACACACGCACATACACACGCACACACACACACGCACACACACACGCACATACACACACACGCAAACACACGCAAACATCCGTCGAATCAACATCTCGCAGTTTCACGAATCGTTCGGTGACAAAGTCGGAGAGCGAACGTCACGGACCCCTCCCTCCCCTCCTGCCCGCCACCGCAAATCGGTTACGTAACCGCACAACCACGGGGAGCCGTTCGGCCTCCAGCCGATGGGGCCGGCGGTACCGGAGGGAGGTCCCGAGGTTCACACCTGCTTGAGGTGCTCGTCGATGGCGCTGCCAAGGTTTCGCTTCTTCATCCCAAGCATCTCGACGGTCGTGAGCGTGTAGAAGACCGCCGCGCAGGCCAGCGGCATGCAGAAGTAGAAGCCGAACAGCCACCAGTCCTTGGCTTTGGCGTAAAACTGCGAGGGCCCAGACAAGAGGTTTCGTCAGAGTCAGGCGGGGCGACAAATCTCCTCGTGGGATAGCCGAGCACAGGGTTGGTGGAGTATCTAATTAGCTGCCTGTCTCTGTGAGTGACTGAAAGACAGACTGTGTGTCAGAGGTCGCAATCGGGTACCCGATACCCGACTACCCGTACCCTGGTGCGGCCGGGTACGGGTAGGCCGTGAGTCACTGGTGAGTAACCGTTTGTTACTCATTTCCCAACGTCTTGTCTCTTCTCACAATTCAAGTTCCTAGAATCAACCCACCCGAGCCTGCAACGTGGCTTCATCCCAGAGGTCGCAATCGGGTACTCGATACCCGTACCCTACCCATACCCGGCTGGGTACGGGTACGACTGGATACGGGTACGGGTACCCATTTGCGACCCTGGTGCGGCCGGGTACGAGTACAGCAACCCGGACAAAAAACATTCGGTGACGATTCACATCCCCGTTTGTGCCGACCGGAGTTTGCGAAACCACCCCCCCCCCCCCCCCCCCCACGGTTACGGCGACGCCGGTGGTTGCCACGTTCTTGACGCGCCGTGTCGCACCTCCACGAAGCTCGTCTGCGGGATGACCATGCACGTGTCGAGCGTCCGGTTGCGGTATTCCCAGGACAGCGTGTCGAAGGCCAGGAGCTCGGGCACCGCCAGCACCAGCGACAGCGTCCAGATGGCCAGGACTTTAAGCGCCGTGAGCAGGGAGAGGCCCACGCCCTGGAGGCGGTCCCAGTGCGCGACCGCACGGTACCTGCGTAGAGGGGTCACGGGAGGGCGAACAAACACACCGGGGGTGCTTGTGCCTGCACGCGGAAAGATGCTTACATCCACGTCCGCATCGGTTAGCCCTGGGGGGCTGTAATGGCGCTGTGATCCCCCACGGCACCACCCCTTGGGGGGGAGTTGCTATATAAGGCGGTGAGCCGGTGGGCTCGGGGTTCAGTGTTTAGCTTAAACCAGAGAAGAGAGAAGACCGGCTAGATAGGCCCTGGGACTCCCCTGGCTCGCCGTGCTTCTAAGGAGCAACCAGGGCAAGCCAGTGGCGTGGCCCCCAGAGCCCAGAGCCGATGTTCTTGTAAGAGCCGGTCTGGGGACTCAGGGTGCCGTGATCCCAGCTTGGCCAGAGCTGGATCAGCTAGCCTCCCCTAGCCCTGTAGTGGAGGACCTGGGAGTAGGCTAGCCGGGTTAGAGACAGTGGGAGCTCCCTGTTAGACGGGTGAAGTGGCCGGTCTGGTGACTCAGGGTGCCGTGATCCCAGCTTGGCCAGAGCTGGATCACTAGCCTCCCCTAGCTCTCGAGTGGAGGACCTGGGAGTAGGCTAGCTGTGACATAGATTGTGGGATCTCCCTGTTAGACGGGTGAACGGGACGATACCCCTGCGAGTGTTGTATACATTGGCCTGTGCTGAGTGAACCGTTTAATAAACCTACTACACCGACTACACCTGCACAGCCACCAAAGATAAAGGCAATGACCCCCCCCCCCCACCCGTGTAGCCTGTAACAGGCTGTTGTCTCGCCGGTGGCGATGTTTACACACCGCACCACGTCCTCATTTGAGGCCGAGTCTACCTAGGGAAGGCCCAGGACCGGTTCAAATAATCGTCACCGGTGTTGGCCGTGAGCGGGAAACGGGCGATCGCTTCGGGTCCTGAAGCAGAGGAGGGGGCGGCCAAGTTGGTGCTGGTTGGTTTGTCGAGGCGAGAACTCGCGAGTGAGCGGGACGGGTCTCGCTCGCAGGAGCGAGCTGGATCAACACGTTGACACGTGTCGCATGTTTGGGAAGCGGGGATTAGTTTCGGCCGCGTCCGTCCGGTTTGGCAACCTGAAACAATGTGTACGCACAGCGGCTCACCACATCCATCATACAGATCGCTATGTCTGTGGCTGCTAGACGGCGCTGGTGCCATCTACAACAGTCTACCAGGAAGTCGGACAATATTCAGTGAGAAATGAGGTTCTGGGTGACACCCAAGGAATGACACCGTCACTTAATTATCTAAAATACTGTTGTAGCCTGCTGCTTATAACAGAAGGAGCAGAAGGGAGGAGGGAGGGAGGAGGAGGAATGTAAACTCTGGAGATGTACTACGACTGTTCCTATTCTATTTGTATGTTACCAGGCAAGGCCCACTCAGCTGTATACGACCTGGCCACAAACGACAGCTCAACGAAGTAGCTGATCACGTGGGGACATTTAGAGCAGCAGCCAAATAGCATTTATAATCAAACGCATGTTTTTTGTCTTAATTTGGAGGGAAAAACCAGAGGACTCGGAGAAAAAATACACACGACCACGGGGAGAATATGCAAACTGGAAATATACAGCAGCAGCAGGCGTCAGGGTCGAGATCAAACCCACGACTTCCTGTATACCAGGCGAGGTAGTTAACCCATTTACATTTTTCTTCTGATTCCGTACACGTATGTCATGCACACGTATGTCATGCACACGTACGTCATCGGAACGGAATTGGAAGAACAACTAAAATAAAATTACTTTATCGGTAACCGAGGCTCCCACAAGGCCATGCGGGAGGGAGTGTGGCTATTGCGACCTCTGGGATGAAGCCATGTTGCAGGCGCGGGTGGGTTGAGTCTAGGAACTTGAATTGTGAGAAGAGACAAGACGTTGGGAATCGTGTCGTGACAGTTCTCCGCGGTGAGCACGATGTCTTCAGGAACACGCCTCTCCAGACAAAGTTCACGCCAACAAGCGCTTTGAGCGCTTCCGAGATTTGAGCCGTGAACGGGAACAGCGAGCGGCCGGGTCTCTCCTCACCTGTCTCCGCTGAGCACGCACAGGCTCAGCGCGCTGATGCCCAGAGAGGCCTTCTGCACGAAGGGCACCGTCTTGCACACGGTGGCACCGAATGGCCAGCTCTCGGCGTGCAGCTGGAAAGATAAGAACGCACCGCACGCACCCCGCAGGTTTTCTCTGGAAATGAATTGAGGAAATGAATTGGGGTCCTCCCAAACATCAACAACAACTATACTCTTAGTTCTTTCGGTAAAGACACCATGTAGGCAAAAAATGAAATAAAAATTAATAAAAATAAAACAATAAAATCACGACGTTTCGGAGGCAACACAAGTCTCCGTCATCAGGTGGGACCGTCACAGCCAGTCATGAAAGCTTCAAATCTAGAATCAACAACAACAACAACAGTTCTAGATTTGAAGTTTTCGTGACTGCAAGGGTCCATGCTCTTTGGTGTTTTTCGGTAAAGTCACGTAGGTGAAAAAGAAAATAAAAATAAATGAAATCACGACGTTTCGGAGGCAACACAAGCTTCCGTCTTCAACAACAAAAGTCTCCAGAACTTTTAGAGGCCTTTTTTTTTGGGGGGGGGGGTAAAAGTCAATCGAGTTAATGATCACAACAAAAATTTTTTGTGTTAGGTCACGTAAGTAGAAATGTTGTGTCCTAACCCTCCACCACCCGACACAGCCAGTAAGGTTTGTCACGTAAACAACGCGCCAATTCCACATTCCCATGACAGTGGCGAGTCTGCTCATCGCAACACCGCTGTTGACTTCACCATCATGGGGTAAAACCAGGGGCGGTTTCTTCATTAGGGCGATTGGGCGACGCACCACCAATGTCATTCAACCACAGAGTCACGCTAGCCGTCACTGCAGCCTCTGGATATAGTCCAATCAGCGTCATGTCACGTTCTGTGGAGTACCGCCTCTTTTTGGGCGATTTCACTCCGGCTGAGAATCGCCCCGAGTGGCCCCATAGACTTACATTCAAAGATGTTTTTTTTCGAACGGCGGGCGCTGCAATGCATTCTCTATGGCTTCCGGGAGGGCTCGCACTAACGTGCTTACGTCATCATACGTGCTTACGTCATCATACGTGCTAACGTCATCATACGTGCTTACGTCATCATACGCAAGCACGTTTCATCCAACAATATAATTTGTGGCCACCTAGTGGAATCTTTAATAAAATAAACTTGAGTGGTTTGTTTTAATAGTGAGTATAGAAACAAACAAGATGTATTGTAAGAGTCACTTTATTTTTCATTAATATTAAAGAAGTGAAGTTGCCTTTACATGCTTAAGCTGTTAATTTATCCATTGCATGGGTGGACCTTATCCTTATCAATCATCCAGACATTTGCCCCCCCTGAGAGATTTTGCAGGAGCCGCCACTGGGTAAAACATTTCTTTTTTGTAATTGAGGCATCGTCGTTTCATCTATGCATTTCTATTTGTTATATAACAACAGTTTTTACACTTTACTTTGGCCAGAATATTCCTAAGTTAGTGAATAACAACTGGATATTAGCCAATTAACTTTTTGCGAATATTCTCTTTGTATAACAAAGTCTGAATATGTATTGACACTGGAGGAGGAATCCGATGAGCTATGAAGCTCTTTTTCACAGATGTCCAGTAGGGGCACGGGGTCAGAACGTTAGAACAACAAAGTGAAAAAAAACCATGACAGTCTATATATAGTTACGTGTATATAGTATCCAAGTGTACGTACGTATGTTAAACCGCTTTCACGCCACACATAGCCGAGCGTGCTAATCGGCTGCAGACACGCGAGCGTGTTGTACACACACACACAGGTACACACACACACAGGTACACACACACACACACACAGAGGTACACACACACACACAGGTACACACACACAGGTACACACACACAGGTACACACACACACAGGTACACACACACAGGTACACACACACACAGGTACACACACACAGGTACACACACACACACAGGTACACACACACATGTACACACACACAGGTACACACAGACACACAGATACTCACACACAGGTACACACACACACAGGTACACACAGGTACACACACAGGTACACACACAGGTACACACACAGGTACACACACACACGCACACACACACACACACAGGTACACACAAACACACACAGGTACACACACACACAGGTACACACACACACACAGGTACACACACACAGGTGCACACACACACACACACGTACAACACACACACAGGTACACACACAGGTACACACACACAGGTACACACACACAGGTACACACACACAGGTACACACACACAGGTACACACACACAGGTACACACACACACAGGTACACACACACAGGTACACACACACACAGGTACACACACACATGTACACACACACAGGTACACACACAGGTACACACACACAGGTACACACACACAGGTACACACACAGGTACACACACACAGGTACACACACACACACAGGTACACACACACAGGTCACACACACACAGGTACACACACACACAGGTACACACACACAGGTGCACACACACACACACACGTACACACACACACAGGTACACACACAGGTACACACACACACACAGGTACACACACACACAGGTACACACACACAGGTACACACACAGGTACACACACACACAGGTACACACACAGGTACACACACACACAGGTACACACACACAGGTACACACACACAGGTACACACACACACAGGTACACACACACAGGTACACACACAGTACAACACACACAGGTACACACACACAGGTACACACACACACAGGTACACACACACACACAGGTACACACACACAGGTGCACACACACACGTACACACACACACAGGTACACACACACACAGGTACACACACACACAGGTACACACACACAGGTACACACACACAGGTACACACACACACACAGGTACACACACACACAGGTACACACACACAGGTACACACACACACACACAGGTACACACACACACACAGGTACACACACACAGGTACACACACACACGTAGACTTTGGCGACCAATATTATCCATAAGGGGATTGTTTTTGGGATTACATCGCGCAAATATAAAACACGCGACCTCTACGATGGTTGTACATCCGTCGCATGCTGTAGCTGGGGGGGGGGGGGGGCACGCTGGTGCTCGCCTGTGGGGCAGTGCTCTGGAGGCAAGGGTTGGTGGGTCACGCAGAGATTTGTCAAACTCCCAACCCACTGGGGCTGCGAGGCGCCCTGGAGATGGGCAGTCCACAAAGTGGTCTCTGGAATCCATCACGTGCAGAAGCTACACAGATTGGCCAAACATCCTCAAGCAGGATGCTCGTTCTACAGAGTCTTGCAACTCCTCGGGGCTTTTCTGGATACATCAGAGGGAATTGTTGCTGATTTTCTGTCCATCTGTTTATCACCCATATGGAAGCAAACGAAATGTTGAAGCAGTCTATATAATTCAACGCTTTAAAGCTTGCTACTTATCAAGTCACACACGAGGTGCGTGGTGGAGTGGTAGTAGTGGCGGCAGTGGTTACCGCACAGTAATATTGAACCGGCGAGTTGAGTTCAATTCCCAGCGATGGTCAACATCAGTGACAAGTGACATCTGAACTGGTCCTGCCCCAACCTGTCCCTGGCCAGCACGGCGAGGCGTGGTCAAGCAGGCCGCGTGGCTGACGCGCTATGGGGAGGGCCCTCATCCAGGCAACACCCTTCTCACAGTGGGTTGACAGAGGACTGTCAATGAGACTTGTGTCAATGTTCATTAACAACAATGATCCACATTCTTGTTTTTTTGGGGTAAGGCAAACCGTGGTGGCTTCAATGCCAAAATTATTGCCGTCACCCCCCCTCTCCCACCCGACAAGATTGTCACGAATTGCATAATCATCACGTGGTAGCTGGGAGAGAGAGACATTTAATTTCGTTGTTGGCGAACCGTCTTGACAGACGAGTGGTAATCTCGGCTCGTCAATGAGTATGTGACCTGTAAGTCGTCGTACAGCTTCCCGAGTCTGCATCGCCTTGGGGACTAAATATGAATGAATAGTCTTTGGTGTTTTCGGTAAAGTCACGTAGGTAAAAAATAAAATGAAAATTAAAATAAAAGTTCTTTATTTTATTTATTTTCTTTTAGTAAAATGTAAATGTGTTTATTTATTTATTTCCTTTGAGTACAATTTTCTTTTAGTTGTTTTTACCGAAAAAAACCAAAGAGTATGAATCCTTGCAGTCACGCAAACTTCTAATCTAGAATGAATGAATATATCATTTTGACCCGGTGGGTGTAGTCACCCAGAATGATCTCTCTCTTGACTCTCTTGGCTCAAACTCGCTCTCTTCTCTCTCTCACCATCCTGCCTGATCTTGAGCTGTCTGCTTCATTTCTCTGGAAGCCTTCCACCAAGGTGTCATTCTCTCTCTCTCTGCCGCACGGCCTCTTTCCCAGCATCGCTCAAAATCTTTTCGCGAAATCACGAAGCTTCATTATTCGTTTTTTTATATTCTTGGTTCTTTCGGTAAAGTCACGTAGAAGGGAAATAATAAAATATCAAACAATAAAAATTCTCACGACGTTTCGACTGCAACACCAGCAATCATCATCAGGTGTGAAATCCATATTTTATTTTATTATTTCCCTTCTGCGTGACTTTACCGAAAGAACCAAGCATATGAATCCCTGCAGTCACGAAAGCTTTCAATCAAAATATTAGTTTTTGTTTCGTCTCCCAGGTATGTACATGTACAACAATCTCACTCATGCACATATCTCTCATTACAAACAACAGCATCCATTAACCCTGTTGGCAGCATTTTAAATACGCAACAAACAACAGCAACAACTTTTTAAAGAGCCAACACTACTCTTAGGTTGTTTCCGGTAAAGTCACGAAGGTAAACTAGTAATAAAATAAAAAATTAAAATAATTAAATTAATAAAACAAGTATAACCTGTAAAAAAAGTTTTTCACTCTAAATCCTTTATATGCGTGGCGGCTAGAGTCCTATCGTCCTCTGGCTTGAGATGGCTGCCACCTATGGGTCAGATGATTGTCTGCCAGTATTAAGCAATTGGTAATTAAATATTTAATTTGTTTTCCCTAAACAGTGTAAAATTTTGGAAAAAAAAATTCACGAAAAATAATTGTCACACACAACGAGTCTGTGTGCAAAATGTCAGCTCGATTGGATCACGGGAAGTGGGGTAAAAAACGACCGAAAGATTTGCACGGTCGTAAGCAAGCAAGCAAGTGAACTTAATATAAAGGATTTAATAACTAGCGATTTAATTTAGTTTTATCATCATTAAAACCCACGAGTATGATTCCTTGCATCTTCTTGGTTCTTTCGGCAAAGTCACGTAGAAGGGAAGTAATAAAATAATAAAAATAAAACATAATAAATAAAATATAATAAAATTAATTTTATTATGTTTTATTTTTATTATTGTATTACTTCCCTTCTACGTGACTTTACCGAAAGAACCAAGAAGATGAATCCCTGCAGTCACGAAAGCTTTAAATCGAAATTTATGATTCCTTGCAGTCACGAACGCTTCAAATCCAGCCAGCAGCAGCAGCACGTGGCTAAGAACTCGCGTTGTTATTGACACCGCACCACGTGCGCGCGTCCTACCCCCCCCCTCCTCACCTTGTACACGTTGATGGGCATGTCTAGGACGATGTAGAGGAGGTCTCCCAGAGCGAGGCTGGCGATGAGGACGCTGCTCCCGTCGCGCATCATCGACTTGTCCCCGTAGACAACGAGCAGCAGCGCCGAGTTGCCGACGCTCCCCACGAGGAAGACGACGCTCGCCACGGCCGCGTTGACGCGCTTGAAGACGAGGCCCACGCCGCTCTGCGCCAGGCACGGGGGCGGCCTCCCGCCAGCTCTGGGTCCCGGTGGGGACGCCGAGAAGGAGGAGGAGGAGGAAGACGGAGGAGGAGGAGGAGAGGACGAGGCCATCGCTGGACTGGTCGCGGGGATGGTCTGGGCGTCTGTCGATTGGGACTGCTCTAAGGGTGCAAGTGACGGTGGGGTTCCTTGGCCGTGTACCGAGGCCAAGCCGACCAGGGTGGCCAGGGAGAGGCACAAGAAGGTGGACGTGAGCCTCCTAGGGGTGGACATCGTGGTCGAGGTGGCGGTGTGCGTGTGTGTGTGGTCACGCTGGGTGTGAACTTGTGTCCACGTGCTCCTCCTGCTGATCCTCCCGGGGCAAAGTTCACTTTGGTGTGCAGCTTCCGGGTGAACAATTTTTTTTTTAGAAATATTAAAAAACCCCCCACGCTTTCATCTTCTTGGCTCTTTCGGTGAAGTCACGTAGAAGGGACTTTACCTAAAGAACCAAGAAGATGAATCCCTGCAGTCACGAAAACTTTAAATCAAACCCCCCCCCCCCACGCTTTAATTAAATGTCACTGTCCCAGATGCCCCTCCCCGTGCCCCCCTCCCCCATCGCCCCTCCCCCTCCTGCCACCCCCCCCCGCCCCTCCCCCCCCCCGTGCCCCCCCCCTTCCCCCCCTGCCCCTCCCCCCCCGTGCCCCCCCCTTCCCCCCCCGCCCCCCGTGCCCCCCCTTCCCCCATCGCCCCTCCCCCCTCCTGCCCCCCCCCCGCCCCTCGGCGCGGCTGCTCAGAGGACACAACTCCAGACGGAATTTGTTAAATAATAAAAGCGTGTTATAAACAAACCCATCTAGGATAACATCAATCCTCGCCGTAAACCAAGTATCTGTCATCTCAAAACATGAAAAATTCGCAAATGTATTTGTTTGGCTTGTTTTGTTTACAAACACATCACAACGGACGTATTAGAACAGAAAAAAATATAAAATAGATTTTTGGTTCTACGTTTGGAAACTATTCCTCGCTTGTTGTGTTTCATCGTCAAACAAACTCCCCCCATTCTGCCCCCTCCCCCTTCTCCCCCCCCTCCCCCTTCTCCCCCCCTCCCCCTTCTCACTCCCCCTCCCCCTTCTCACTCCCATAGAGACCCCACAGAGATCCATAGACACCCATAGAGACCCCACAGAGATCCATAGACACCCATAGAGACCCATACTCAGAGAGACTCACACAGACCCACAGACATCCAGGGACTCGTATAGATCCATAGAGACACACGGAGAACCATCATCATCACGTGAACATTTCTAGTAGCAGCCAAACAATCTGAACGTGTGCAGATGTCAACTCGACATGTGGAGGGGGAAAACCCGGAGGACCCGGTGACACATATACAGCAGCAGCAGCAGGGTTGGGATGGAACCCACGACCTCCTGTAGACCAGGCGAGGTAGTCAACATCTCATAACTACAGAGAGAGACACAGACTCCACATATACAGCAGCAGCAGCAGGCATCGCCAGGGTCCGGGATGGAACCCATGACCTGTAGACCAGGTGAGGTAGTCAACATCTCTTAGCCACAGAGAAAGAGACGCAGACTCCACATATACAGCAGCAGGCATCGTCAGGGTTAAGAATGGAACCCATGACCTCCTGTAGACCAGGCAAGGTAGTCAACATCTCTTAGCCACAGAGAGACGCAGACTCCACATATACAGCAGCAGCAGGCATCGCCAGGGTTGGGATGGAACCCACGACCTCCTGTAGACCAGGCAAGGTAGTCAACATCTCTTAGCCACAGAGAGACGCAGACTCCACATATACAGCAGCAGCAGGCATCGCCAGGGTTGGGATGGAACCCACGACCTCCTGTAGACCAGGCGAGGTAGTCAACATCTCATAGCCACAGAGAGAGAGACGCACACTCCACATATACAGCAGCAGCAGCAGGCATCGCCACGGTCCGGGACACACACGCACACACGGCGGCCAACTCAGACCGTATTGGTCACCCCGTGCCCCGTATAAACCTCAACGTTCATCCTGCAAAGTCCCATCATCACAAGGGAAAGAAACACAGATAGACGATTACGATTTGTTGCCCGCATTGCAACGTCTGTACGCTGTGTGGGCCTGAAAACTCGCCTGTTGCAAGAACACGGGTCGAGCGCACGGGTTGGGACGTCACGGTGGGTGGCACGTGCGTGTGGTGTGACTCCCTGAACCCTGCGGGTTCCGTGGTGACCTGTGAATACACTTGATGTCTCTTGCACACCTCACCCCGTGTCTGTCTCCGCGTGTGTGTCTCTCGCGGTGTGGGGAGCGGTGGTGCAGCGGTTAGCGCTACGAACCCGGCGATCAGAGTTCGATTCCGGCTCACGGCCAACACCGCCAGTGACGATTATCTGAACCTGTCCTGGGCCTCCCCTAGGTCGACTCAGCCTCAAAGCGAGTAGCTGGTGCGGTGTGTAGCGAACATCGCCACCAGGGAGACGAAGGCGGCCGGGCGTGGTGCTGGTCACCCACCGCCACCTCGTGTGTAGCCACAGTGAAGGGGGGTGAGAGGGGGGGGTGAGGGGGTGAGTGGGGGGGGGGTGAGTGGGGGGGGTGAGTGGGGGGGGGTGAGCGAGTGGGGGGGGGGTGAGTGAGTGGGGGGGGGGGTGAGTGGGGGGGGTGAGTGAGTGGGGGGGGGTGAGTGGGGGGGGGTGAATGGGGGGGGTGAGTGGGGGGGGGGTGAGTGAGTGGGGAGGGGTGAGTGGGGGGGGGTGAGTGGGGGGGGTGAGTGGGGGGGGGGTGAGTGGGGGGGGGGTGAGTGGGGGGGGGTGAGTGGGGAGGGGTGAGAGGGGGGGGGTGAGTTGGGTGGGGGGTGAGTGAGGGGGGGTGAGTGAGTGGGGGGGGGTGAGTGGGGGGGGGTGAGTGGGGGGGGTGAGTGGGGGGGGGTGAGAGGGGGGTGAGTGAGTGGGGGGGTGAGTGGGGGGGGGGTGAGTGGGGGGGGGTGAGTGGGGGGGTGAGAGGGGGGGTGAGTGAGTGGGGGGGGGTGAGTGAGTGGGGGGGGGTGAGTGGGGGGGTGAGTGGGGGGGGGTGAGTGAGTGGGGGGTGAATGGGGGGGGTGAGTGGGGGGGGTGAGTGAGTGGGGGGGGTGAGTGAGTGGGGGGGGGTGAGTGGGGGGGGGGGTGAGTGAGTGGGGGGGGTGAGTGGGGGGGTGAGTGGGGGGGGGGGTGAGTGGGGGGGGGGGTGGTGAGTGGGGGGGGGTGAGTGGGGGGGGGTGAGTGGGGGGGGGGGGTGAGAGGGGGGGTGAGTGAGTGGGGGGGGTGAGTGGGGGGGTGAGTGGGGGGGGGTGAGTGGGGGGGGGTGGTGAGTGGGGGGGGGGGGGTGAGTGGGGGGTGAGTGAGTGGGGGGGGTGAGTGAGTGGGGGGGGTGAGTGAGTGGGGGGGGGTGAGTGAGTGGGGGGGGGGGGGTGAGTGAGTGGGGGGGGGGGGGTGAGTGAGTGGGGGGGTGAGTGAGTGGGGGTGAGTGGGGGGGGGTGAGTGAGTGGGGGGGTGAGTGAGTGGAAGGGGTGAGTGAGTGGGGGGGGTGAGTGGGGGGGGGTGAGTGGGGGGGGGTGAGTGGGGGGGGGTGAGTGAGTGGGGGGGGGGTGAGTGGGGGGGGTGAGTGAGTGGGGGGGGGTGAGTGGGGGGGGGTGAGTGGGGGGGGGTGAGTGGGGGGGGGTGAGTGGGGGGGGGTGAGTGGGGGGGGGTGAGTGGGGGGGGGGGTGAGTGGGGGGGGGTGAGTGGGGGGGGTGAGTGGGGGGGGGTGAGTGGTGGGGGGTGAGTGAGTGGGGGGGGTGAGTGGGGGGGGTGAGTGGGGGGGGGTGAGTGGGGGGGGGGGGTGAGAGGGGGGGGGTGAGTGAGTGGGGGGGGTGAGAGGGGGGGTGAGTGGGGGGGGTGAGTGGGGGGGGGTGAGTGGGGGGGGTGAGTGGGGGGGGGTGAGTGAGGGGGGGGGGTGAGTGAGAGGGGGGTGAGAGGGGGGGTGAGTGAGTGGGGGGGGGGGGGTGAGTGGGGGGGGGGGGTGAGTGAGGGGGGGGGGTGAGTGAGAGGGGGGTGAGAGGGGGGGTGAGTGAGTGGGGGGGGGGTGAGAGGGGGGGTGAGTGAGTGGGGGGGGGGTAAAGGGGGGGTGAGTGGGGGGGGGGGTGAGTGAGTGGGGGGGGTGAGTGGGGGGGGGGGTGAGTGGGGGGGGTGAGTGGGGGGGGGTGAGTGGGGGGGGTGAGTGGGGGGGGGTTAGTGAGGGGGGGGTGTGAGAGGGGGGGGTGAGTGAGGGGGGGGGGTGAGTGAGAGGGGGGTGAGAGGGGGGAGTGAGGGGGGGTGAGAGGGGGGGTGAGAGGGGGGGTGAGTGGGGGGGGGGTGAGTGAGGGGGGGGGTGAGTGAGAGGGGGGTGAGAGGGGGGGGTGAGAGGGGGGGTGAGTGAGTGGGGGGGGGGGTGAGAGGGGGGTGAGGGGGGGGGGGGGTGAGTGAGTGGGGGGGGTGAGAGGGGGGGTGAGTGAGTGGGGGGAGGGGGGGGTGAGTGAGGGGGGGTGAGAGAGGGGGGGTGAGAGGGGGGGGTGGGTGGGTGAGTGGGTGGGTGGATGGTGAGTGGGCGAGTGTGTCTGTGTACCTGTGTCTCTGTGTGTCTATGTGTGTGTCTGTGTGTCTGTGTGTGTGTCTGTGTGTTTGTTTAGCAGCACTTGCCCCCACAAAGTGTGTGGAGGCTACACGGGGGAGCTTTGCCGGTGTAGTGAAGGATGTTGCGGGCGGGCTGGTCTGGTTGCCCACAGCCTCAAGATTGCACAACTTTGACAACGACTCGTCACGAGCGGGTGGTGGTGGTGCTGGTGGTGCTGCTGGTGGTGATGGTGGTGGTGGTGGTGCTGGTGGTGGTGCTGGTGCTGGTGGTGCTGCTGGTGGTGGTGGTGCTGGTGGTGGTGCTGGTGGTGGTGCTGGTGGTGGTGGTGCTGGTGGTGCTGGTGGTGGTGCTGGTGGTGGTGTGGTGGTGCTGCTGGTGCTGGTGGTGGTGCTGGTGGTGCTGGTGGTGGTGCTGGTGGTGCTGGTGGTGCTGCTGGTGCTGGTGGTGGTGCTGGTGGTGCTGGTGGTGGTGGTGGTGCTGGTGGTGCTGCTGGTGGTGCTGGTGGTGGTGACGTTGGGCCGCCTCATTAACATAATTTATTCAGTTGCGGGGTCGCTCATTGTGGGAGGAGCGTGGCTTGTAACCCGAGAGTGACGTCATGTCACCTGCTGCTGCTGCCGCGTGACGTCACGAGGTAACAGGACGT